CGTGTTTTTTAACAGCAGAACAATTTTTGTGGTATATTCTCTAAAAGTGATCCTGCAATTTCTTGACAGCTTATTTACTGAGTTCACAGCTCTAAGCCCTAATGTGGTTTCTTTACTTTGATTTATAATGAGCCACTGACAATGTCAATAAATAAGCTACATTATTTAGGGGCAATAAAATGCATGTAAAACCCTGGTTTATTGTCAAAGTTTGCAACTACAATTTAGCATGCTAAACTATCAGGGTGTCTTGCTCTGTGTCTGAGTTCTTGGCTTATTCCTGTTCTGGTTTTGTACCCATCTGAAGTTTCTAATTAAGCCACAAAGGTGGAAGCTAAGAGCATCTTAAAATACAGAGGAAAGAGGAACAGGTATTGGCCAAATAAGCCAAGCCTGCATGCAAAACTGACTCTGGCTTCTTGTTCAGCAATGATTAAGAAAAGCTTGCTTAGGATGATGTTGAATAAAGCCCTTGTATTTTAGATTATTGTGTTTGTATACTGTATTGTGTTATTTCCTGAGAACCAAGAAGTATTATTAAATAACTTATGATATTAACCAAAGCTATACATCTATGATCATTAATAGGAAACTAATTCCTACTGGGCTCTGTAGGAGGTACTTTTAAGTAAATATGTGTAGGATTAGTGTTTCTCATGAAATAATGAATGCGCAGGCCAATTTAGTACGTATCACTTCAGGGGTAAGCACCACTGAGTTCAGCAGGTCATGCTCAAAGATAAGCACGCATAGGATTACAGCCTGAGGATTTGTTTTCTGTTGAAGCCAGTAGAGTCAGGGCTATATCTCAATATTGATTTGAAAATAATTTTTATATCAAGAGGACCAGAATGAAGACCGTATAAGTCCTTCCTGGATGTGGCCCTCAAAGGCTCTCCAAAGATTGCCACCATGTTATCATTTCTACTGTGACTGAAAGGAAAAACCTTTGCATTCTCGGAACATAATTATATTAGACATATTTAACTAATTAAATCATTTCAACTAGATTAAAATCAAAGCAAGGATCCTGAACAGCAGTCAAAACCCAAATCCTATCTACTTTTTATAGCGCTGCCCTCAGTACAGCATTCAAAACCCAAGTGTAGCCATTATCCCCCAAAGGTTGTGAATTCCTGTGATGGGAGAGTCTTCTAAAAAATATGGTGAGTTAGGATTGTGTTCTTAACAAATAAGTGCTAGAAAATAGCATCAGATTATATTTACATGCTTATCAGAGTTCTTGTTCATCATTCATCTATGCATAAATTTGGGCAATTCAAAGTCAAACAAAACACCTTACCTTAAAAAGTGTCACAGTGATTTCAATGTTTTCAGGAACAGGCCACACTACTACCCCACGGTAGGGATTCTTTATTCCTGGTTGCCAACTATGAGCCTGAAGAAAGAATTGGGAGAGAGAGGAAGAGGAAAGTCTTGATCCATGCAGACATAACAGCTGGGATTAATGCAAAGAGCAAACTGAATGAAAGAAAGATGCAAAGGAGCAAAGATGCAGAAAAATCTAATATCAATCAGAGCAAGAAAGGAAGATGTCCTTTTGGACTTTGTCATCTTCTCTCCCAGTAGCCAAAAGGTGCCCAGCTCAAAACACTCCTGAATTAGATTCAGAAAACACGTATCTTGGCGATCTTAGCTGGAACAAGCTGAGCCTGCAAAATCTATCTTGCAGGTCTTTTCAGGAAAAATACAGCAGAGCTCTGGAAAGTTTGGAACAGAATCTTTAGTAGTGCTACTCAGGCTTTTTTCTTAAGAGAGGGGTGAATTTCAGAATTGGAGAAGGAAAGAAGGCATTATTTTCTCAGCCTCGGGCCAGTTTTAGATTAGTTTTTACAGTATCTAAATCATTAAATCATCAAACAGGGCAGCTGGATGGAACTCTAATTTTCTTAAAAATGTATTAAGATACATCCAGCTAAAAATCTGGGTTGCTTTATCTTTACAGTTTTGTCTGTACAATTACCAAGATATAGAAGCACAAAACATGTTCTTTTGCTTTGCAGTTTTTATGTTGGAGTATATCAGAAACAACTGCAAAGTAAATGATTTTATTTTTGGTCTACTGACTACAATATAGGAGTATCTAATTATGACATTACATGACTGTTGCTAGCTGATTACTAACATACTGTGTACAATCATATCATCATCCATATCATGGATAAAGCATTTTCTGACTTTTGGCAGATATTTTCAGTGCATAGACTAAGCAGAAGGATTTTATAGAGAGAACTTTTCAGAAGGCAATATTGGTGAATGTATAGGATTAAGATTCCAAATGTAGAATAGCACTGAAATAAACAGAACCAGTCACAAATCTTTACCCTCTTTTACCCTATAGAAGAAGTGCAGAAAGTCTCTCATGCTTACCACATTTGATCAACATTTTAGCACATGTATGGATTTAACATGGTTTGAACTTATCTGACTTGAGCAATTTACTCACATGTTATAATTGGCTTTGGTAAAGAGGTACCCACGTACTGGTCAAGGACTCAAAGTCATACTCCAAAAGTCAGAACAATGTATAAACTATAATTTATCCTTTCATTACAAATATAATCCCATCAATCTCTAGAGGCACTCTCCCTATATGCACAATGTAGAAAACTAAAGGAAGTCCTCAGATCAAGTAGGATACTTTTCATGAACTTCAGGACACATAAGATTAAGGTGGAAATGGAAGATTTTCTGTTTTCATCCACTACTAACATTTGGCTGTTAAGCAACTAGAAGAAGCTTCTGTAATTCACTTTTACTGTAATGGGAAAGGGGGAGAACCAAGTTAAACTTTTTACAAGATACATGATTTGTCAACAGAAATATAGACTGCTTTTCTTAACTACTGATATAATTGTGTTAAATTTGCTCCAACACAAATTTGCTCCAACTCAATCAGATACCCAGACTGAGATATTCTCTCCTATCATTCCATTCTATTCTTATTTGGGCCAGTCATTCTCTGTCTCAGCCCAAGCTAGCTCACAGGGTTACTGCTG